TTGATGTTGACTTGTGCAATTGGCTTGCAGTTGGCCTCTAGGGTTGTTTTCCACATTCCCATTGAGTTCTTGATGAAGGCTCTAAGAGTCGTCTCGATGTTGTACAGTTCCAAGCATTCCAGGATCCATGTGTGAGGCACTGAGTCATAGGCTTTCTGTTGTCAATCCAGGCAGTGCACAGGTTGATATGCCTAGTCTTGCAGTCTCAAGTGACTACTTTATCAACCAGTAGCTGGTGCTTTGCTCCTCTGGTGTTACTATCAATTCCTTTCTGGGCGCCGCTCATGTATTGAGCCATGTGCCTGCTCATCTTAGCTAATGATAATGCCTGACAGGAGCTTCCATGTTGTGCAGAGGTAGGTTATTGGGCAGTAGTTGGATGGTACTGCTCCATTCTGAGGGTCCTTCTGGATCAGGACTGTCCAGCCTTTAGTTAACCACTCAGGGTGGGTTCCATCTATTAGTAGCTGGTTCATTTGTCCCGCCAGGCGCTCATGGAGTGTAGTTAGCTTCTTTAACCAGTAGGCGTGGATCATGTCAGGGCCTGGTGCTGTCCAGCTCTTCATACTTAAGACCCGCTCTTGAATGTCTGCCATTGTGATGATTACTGGGTCTTGTGCAGGGAGGTTGCTGTGGTCTGCTCTTAGGTCCACCAGCCATTGGGCATTGTTGTTATGTGATGCCTCCTTCTCCCATAGGCTCTTCAAGAACTGTTCAGTCTCCAGCCTTGGTGGGTCTGCTCTCATGTTCTTACCCTGCCACTGAGAGTACACCTTGGATGGATCAGTGGAGAACATTCAGTTTTTTCTCCTGGCTTCAACTTCTCTGGTGTACCTCTTCAGCCGTGTGGCCAGGGCCGTGAGCCTTTGCTTGGCAGTCTCTAAGGCCTCAGGTATGGACAGTGAGTTGTATTTCTTAGGTACCCCTTTCTTCATTACGCCTTTCTGCAATTCTGATAGCTGGCTAACTTCTCTCCATGCTGCCTTGATCTTGGTCTCCAACCTCCTCCTCCATGGAGGATACTGCTCCTTATGGTCTTTGTTGAACTTATAGCCAAGCATCTCAAGGATCACGGTTGCTGTGGTGTATACGAGCTTGTTGGTCTCAGTGATGGTTGTAGTAGGGATTGTTCTTAGTGCTGCATTCACATCATCTAGTAGACTTTCAGAAGGCACTTCACTTAGTCTTGGTAACTGGCCACGGGAGTTCCAGGTGTCCATCTTGCTCATGATCTTCAGTCTCAGGTCAGCGGCCCTTGAATCAAGCTCATCCAGGCCTGTTATTGTGGCTTGGTACCCAATCTCCAATTGTGGGGGTGATGATGATGATATCTCCCCCCGACCTGTCGTCCTGGCTCCACTTTGCTGGAGCATTCGTGTTGTACACGAATGTACTGTAATGTAATGTCAATCTCTAGTTGTGATAGCAGGTGCTTCTTGCAGATCGTATAGCACTGAGCTACTAGTTGTTTCGATGTTAGTGTAGATGTTGGGTTTCAAAGTATCCATAGGTCTCACATCCTCCGTATGTAACCCCTCTTGCTGGGGTTACTTGTATAGTAGCATTCCAATAGTTCTCTTTTCTCCTCTCTTGTCCATTGATTTGATTTGATTTGATTTATTCTTTCAAACATGTAACGACAGTCAATATGTCAACACACATAATTTCACACATATCCACAAATGCATTATCAATTTGCTTATACCTAGTACATGCTTGAACGGAGTAGGAAGAAGTTAGACTTATCTAGTCCTACCCCATAACATCATCTTACCATCATTGGTTTGCAAGCAGTATTACTACATAGATAATTTTGTTCTACACCACGCTAGTGATATACTAAAAAATATTACAGATTACAAGGTAAGCAAGTAAATAAGTCAAGTAAGCAAGCCAACAAGTAAACAGGTGTGATGAGGCGACTCACCCAGAAGATGATGTTGTAGCTGAACATTAGGTATTTGTAGCAGCAGCTCACTTCCGCGTTCTCATATCTATAGTAATACATCTGTCACAAGCACACTGATGTTACACAAAGTAACTACATGCTACTACACATTTCATCAGTATTCAAGCTTTATAACTGCTTTATTTTACTGTACAATCATTATTTGCTTTACGAGTTCAGTTGTTTTTCAGAAGTTTATAACGTTGTTGTCGTGATGTTCAATCAATTAATCCGTTTAGTTTCATGTCGAAGTTTACGTTAAACTTTTACCATTAGCTTTGCTAATCAACCAGTCTACAGCTTCCCATGTAACGTTATCTGTCGATTTACTGTTGTTGCAAAAGAACTTTCTTTCTAATAAATTACTAATACATTCACCCACCCTCCGGCCAGTATGTACGGTGGCGTTAGCCAGCGTTTTCGATCGCTACCAGCCGTTACACACCGTTAATTTGCCGCGAATTCTGAGCAGAGAGTTTATGAAGAGGTTCAGTTTGCCTGGAGCTAACAGGAAATGGCTAATGCTAACGCTGACGGAAGTAAAGTGTAAACTGAGCGAACAAGCACAATGTATGATCAGAACGGCTTCACGTAACCGAGTCAGACTCACCTCAAATCACGTCACAGGCTATTTTGGTTTCTCAGGTTGCTGTGTCACTTTCATCAAACTCACACAAACACAACCAACTAACAATAGACGGCTGCACTTATTCAGCTTTTCTGACACAAACACGGCTGTCGCTTCTTCTTCTGTGGAGTTCAGAGTTAACAGATGAGCTACTGCCACCTGCCGGAAACGCGGGGAAATACAGACAGAAAAACATTTGCTGCTTTCCAATCGACCGTCAGTCCCGTGATTGAAAGGTAGGCAGAACTTTATTGATCCCACAGTGGGGAAATTCCAGAAAGCATGGATTTAGTCATTTTTTTCTCAGCGGCCACTTGTGGTACTGCAGTGAAAAATCCTTAAAAAACACAATGATAAAGAGAATGTAAAACAGTTGACAGGACACCTTGAACTATAAATAAGTTCAATTAGGCTATCGGTCTTTCCATTATGAATTTTTAGCCCATGGAGGTTTTACATTTGTAAAACTTTCCCAGAGCCTGGAAAACCAAGTTTTATTTTTGCGATGTAAGCCCAAATGGAAAGTCTATGGGCCGAACAAGAGACCACAGGTGTTTCCTTGAGTTCTCTCTCCTTGCATTTGTTCCTTGTTTCTTCTACATGGGCGGGACTAAGGTGCAAGAACAAAACACACTTGCGATGTACCCATTGTTAGAGGGGCGGCATTTGGAACCTATTGTTGCCTCCAGCCTTGGTTGTTTTTAAATGTGCTATATTAACATTTTTGATTGATTGACCGGCCGGGATTGGCTCCGGCCCCACCCGTGACCCCGTTCAGGGACTAAGCGGTAGAAAATGAATGAAAAAAAAATGAATGAATGATTGATTGACTTCGATTAAATATAACTCCTTATAAAAAAAAACTCCAAATATGACTGCAATGCTTATATAGAATTTTTTTGTATTGATGGTAACCTGTAAGCTGCACTTAAAGGTTAAGGTGTTAGGTATTTTTAGTCAGATAGATATTGGTTAGGTACTTGTATGTATTAGAAATGTTTAGTGGAGTCAGGATGTCTAGTTAGACTGTTAAATGCTTAGTCATTGTCATGAGTTTTGGCAGGGTGCTGTTAGGTATTTTTAGTCAGATAGATATTGGATAGACGCTTTATGTATTAGAAATGTTAGTGGAGAGAGGATATCTAGTTAGACTGTTAAATGCTTAGGCCTGCTTATGAGTTTCTGCAGGGTACATCTGGTCAAGGCTACCAGAGAGAAGAGCTGATGACTGTCAGCAGACAGGATTTTTAATATTATTATTATGACGTGTATAACTGTAGCCTTAGCCATAATATTTTTTCATGTTTAATGTCATGACATGTCACTAGAGGTCGTGTTAGAATGTTTTTAGCTACACACCACAATCAACAGACAATCACACACTGATTTGCTTCATGTTTTGACTACTGCTATGGTCAGCTGCAAAGCTGGCACCAGGGACACATCACGGTTGACGTTCCTGTGTAGAATGGGGCTAGCCCAACCGAAGAGATAAATGTATAGGCCTGGTTTGGTTCGGGGTCTTTCATCTTTCAGCTGCCTGCGTGCATGTTGGAGGTGCAAGATACCTGAGCGTGTAATGTTAATTTTTACCTGTGTTCATTGAATAAATCAGCACTGTTTTGTTAGGTATTTTTAGTCAGATAGATATTGGTTAGGTACTTGTTGTATTAGAAATGTCTTTAGTGTAGACAGGATGTCTAGCTCAGGCTGTTAAATGCTTACTCATTTCCATGAGTTACTCCAGGTTGTTTATGGTCAAGGATAACTAGAAATAGAATTGATTACTGTATGACGTGTTTAATCATAATCAGAATATCTTCTTATGCCTAATGTCAGGACATGTCACTGAATGTCCTGTCAAAAGCCGAGATGTCGATCGGTTCGACCTAAAACCATATTGGCAATCAGAGAGGATTTTATGTCTATCAATAAATGTGTCTAATCTGTTATTAAAAAGTTTTTCCAAGATTTTTGAAAACTGTGACAACAGAGAAACCGGTCTATAATTTGTGAAGTTGTGCTTATCCCCAGATTTGTACAAAGGAATAACCTTTGCTATTTTCACATTATTGGGGAACTGACCAAGTCAAAACGACATGTTAAAAACATGGGTTAATGGTTTGCATATCCCCTCAATTACCCATTTAACAGTTGTCATAGTGATACCATCACTATCACTAGATGCTTTGTTACCACATTTGTTCATTATCTCTATAATTTCCTTTTCAACTATGGGCTTCAAAAACATAGAACTCATGTTCCTTTCGATTGTATTATTATTTATAGTGACGGATATATCATCTGTACAAATTCTTTTTGCTAAACCAGGACCAACATTCACAAAGAACCTATTAAACTTATCAACTACATCCTCCATTCTATTAACCGGTGTATCATTATCCATAAAATTTTGAGGGTAGTTACTCTTGCTGGAACTGTTTCTAATCAATTTATTTAATATATTCCAAGTACCTGGTAAATGATCACTGATATCATTTATAAGTAATCCACTAGACATTTTGCTATCAATATCATTAGTAAATATATTATCTATTAGTGTTGCATGCTGGGTTGTTAATCTACTTGGTTTTGTAATTGTTGGGTATAAACTACATCTATATATTGTGTTAATAAACTCCTCAGTTGCTTTGTTCTTGTTAGGATTCAACAAATTTTTATTGAAGTAACCACATATGAACATTAATTTTTGACTTATTGTCAAGTAATTTTCTTCCATCCAGTCATTAAATTTTTCTATGCTGGCTCCAGGTGCTCTATAAATACAGCTTATTACAACATTCTTCTTTTTTTCCAAAAGTAATTCAACAGTCACACATTCGAGTAAATTATCTACTACCCT